AGTGATAATACTTAGTTACAATTTTGAATGCTAAAAAATTAGTTGTCTAATAATAATTATCAGTTAACATATATCGTATAGTTAATTTAAATGTTATCAATAAATACATTTAGAAAATCCATTACAATAATTAACATTATTTTGATAATATTATACACTTATACTTTCTCTATATAAATTATATAATGGCTTACGCATCTGTTAAGTAGTTGGTTTAGTCGGCTTGCTTAGCTTAACGTCTCAGATTTATGGATTATGATAATATAGAAGATTTAGTACCATTATTACATGTTATCAAAGATATTGTGTATTCTTACAAATAAAAAGTCAAGTCGTCAAAAAAAAAAAGTCAATATATAATATCCGTTCAAACTGAATATAGACCCGTTGTTTTAAAAAAAAAAAGTCTAGACATACTTCAGAAACTAACGTATTAATATTATTTTTTCAACGTAAACAGCGTACATGCAAATTTACTACACTACATTATTATATGCAAGTTAAACTGGTAAGTTCCTGACCAGGTCCTGTTCCTATAAACCCTATAAATTACAAGGAGAAAACGAGTTAACAATCACCAATTCAAAACTTGCTTACATACGCAAGCAAAATTCAATAAATGGAAATTCAAGAAATGGAAATGATATTGATGATCTCTTTGTTCTTAACGACCCTCTTAGCCCTTCTCTTGCTTAAACCAGTCCTCAAACGAACCGCCACGAAAGTGAACTTACCACCCTCTCCATGGCGACTTCCGGTTATCGGAAACCTCCATCAGCTTGGCCTCCACCCTCACCGTTCCCTTCGGTCCCTCAGCCTCCGGTACGGGCCACTCATGCTCCTTCATTTTGGCCGTGTCCCGGTACTCATAGTCTCTTCTGGTGAAGCAGCTCATGAGGTTATGAAAACACACGATATTAAGTTTGCCAACCGCCCCAAATCAAAAGCCGTTCATAGGATTATGAATGGTGGGCGTGATGTTGTGTTTGCTCCATATGGAGAATATTGGAGACAAATGAAGGTAATTTCACTAGCCCGTTTTTAATTCCTCGTTTAACTGTTTTTTTTTGGTATATATTTACGTACCGTTATATAATTTGGTCTACAAAGTACACCTGCACACACATACGCACACTACCAAAGTTTGATTAACAAAAACTATTGTAGTAAAATTATAGAATGATGTACAAACGAAACACTAAAGCAACCGACAATTTTTATATTATGTATATTCCTAATTTAATCAATTAATGATAATTCTGAATCTGGTTTAATTTTGGATGAAGAGTGTATGCATTTTGAATCTGCTCACCAACAAAATGGTTGGATCCTTTGAGAAGGTAAGAGTAGAAGAGGTAAAAGCAATGTTGGAAAAGCTGGAGAAAGCAAGTTCTTCTTCTTCATCAGTAAACCTAAGCGAACTCTTTATTACTCTACCAAGCGATGTTACGAGTAGAGTTGCCTTGGGAAGAAAACATAGCGAGGACGAAACCGCGAAGGATTTCAAGAATCGAGTGAGGCAAATCATGGAGCTTATAGGTGAGTTCCCAGTCGGGGAGTATGTCCCATGGCTGGCATGGATAGATAGAATCCGCGGTTTCAGTAAAAAAGTGGAGGATGTGAGCCGCAAGTTTAGCGATCTTATGGATAAAGTGGTGCAAGAACATTTAAAGGCGGGTAAAGAAAAAGTGGATTTCGTCGACATATTGTTATCAATCGAAGGAGAGGAGAGTAGTGGATTCCAGATTCAAAGAAATGACATAAAATTTATGATCTTGGTAGGACCATTATAAGCCAGTTCATTCATAACTATGGTTACAAATGTAATATTTATAGTTTGAGTAATATCATGTAAATTTTATGTCATCAGGATATGTTTATAGGTGGAACTTCAACAACTTCGACTCTACTAGAATGGACAATGACGGAGCTGATTAGACATCCCGCCTGTATGAAGAAACTCCAAGATGAGGTTCGGTCAAGTACTAAACCACATACTTCTTACATAAAAGAAGAAGAAGTTGAGAATATGAAATACTTGAAAGCTGTGATTAAGGAGGTGCTTCGGCTGCATCCCTCTCTTCCAATGTTAATTCCTCGACTATTGAGTGAAGATGTCAAGTTGAAGGGATATCACATAGCCGCAGGCACAGAGGTAAACTATTATATTATCAAATCAAACTCTTATATGTAAAAGGATATTATTATAAAGTATTCTTTTAGCATGTTATTTGAAAAAATGTGTTTTTTTTTTAACTAGTACTGTTCACACGATTTTTTATAAATACGTTTTAATTCATTTTTGTAGAAAAAAAAACATCTTGGTCAAAAGTTTGATTTCTTTTTTGCTATATAGAAAAATTTCATTGCAATGTTTTTTCGTTCTATAATATTTTAGAGAATTTTTCAATGAAAATATGTACAGGTGATCATCAATGCTTGGGCCATCCAAAGAGACCCTGCGATATGGGGACCAGAAGCAGAAGAATTTAAACCAGAAAGACACTTAGATTCATCTTTGGATTATCGCGGAAAAGATTTAAACTACATCCCATTTGGATCAGGAAGAAGGATTTGTCCCGGAATAGGATTTGCTTTGGGTTTGGCAGAAGGGGCATTGGCAAACCTTGTAGCGCGATTTGACTGGACGGTAGAAGTTAAACCACCGGGGGATCAATCTGATCTAGCTGAAGCCACCGGTATCGATGTTTGCCGTAAGTTCCCTCTTATAGCATTTCCATCTTCGGTTGTTTAAGATGCTAGCTCTCTCTTTCATCTAGCTGTGCAATATTAATAAGAAGAGTTGTAATACGAAAACAACTCTTTACTCATACAAACTATCCTACACTTGTTATAAGTTTAAAAAACAAATTTCTTGTTATAAGTTGTTATGAACGTTAGTGAAACTAAATCGTTACTGAGCAAATGATTGTTCATCTTTGTGATGCATATTTATTAAGGTTGCAAAATTTGCATAGACTAGTCGTCAGCCATCCAAAACTTCGAATTGGCCTGAGTTGGCCAATGCCAAGGCATCGCGGTACGCTTAAAATTAATTGGATCGTTGAAACAACCCGACCCATTTTTTTTTTTTACATCGAATTAGTATTCCCATAAATACTGATTCTCAACAATTATCAACAATCGTATTAAACTAGCAAACCGAACATAACCAGCAGAAATCAAGTCGANTTAATTCAAACAATTATCCATTAACCAAGTAAACCGATTCGAGTCAATAATAACCAATAATAATTCAATCCAACTCAACAATCCAATTCA